CGGAACGCGCCGCCTCCTGACGAGCAGCCTGACGGTGGAGCCGGCCTTCTTCAGCGCGTCGACGGCCAGCGAGTGGGTCACATCGCTCACATCTGCCTCGTTAACTTGCACGATGATGTCATTCACCCTGCGGAAAGGAAAACGGACACATGAGGACACATTCCCCACCCCTGGGGACAGTATTCCCCACCCTGGGGACAGTATTCCCCACCCCCCACAGACAGCGAGTGGGTCACATCGCTCACGTCTGCCTCGTTAACTTGCACGATGATGTCATTCACCCTGGGGAAAGGAAAACGGACACATGAGGACACATTCCCCACCCCTGGGGACAGTATTCCCCACCCTGGGGACAGTATTCCCCACCCCCCACGGCCAGCGAGTGGGTCACATCGCTCACGTCTGCCTCGTTCACCTGCACGATGATGTCATTCACCCTGCGGAATGGAAAAGGGACACATTCCCCACCCCTGGTGATGTCGGGTTTGGTTTAAGACAGGAGAAAGTGTTTAGTTCGGACAGGAGAAAGTGTTTCTAACATGAGCTTGCCGTCGGCCGCTGCCGCCCCGCCGGGGATGAGCTTGGTGATGTAGGGTTGGGTTATAGCTACATGTTTGTGTATGTAGGACAGGAGGAAAGTTCTAGCCTGAGCTTGCTGTTCTGTCGGCTGTAGAAAGTGTTTTTACTAACCTGAGCTTGCCGTCGGCTGCTGCCGCCCCGCCAGGAATCAGCTTGGTGATGTAGATGGAGGGGTCGTCCCCGATGTGAGGGTTGTCATTTCCTCCGGCAATGCTGAACCCCAGGCCCTGGGTGCCCTGCACAGCACAGAGGGCACAAACTTTAACCTATGACCCTGCACAGAGGGCACAACCTTTAACCTATAACCCTGAACAGAGGGCACAAACTTTAACCTATAACCTCTGACCCTAGGTATCCTGGACAGCACAGAATTCACAGACTTTGGTATCCTACACAGGTCACAACCTTTCATCTCTAATCTCTGACCCTGTACAACACAGAGGTCACAACCTTTCACCCTTAACTACTGGCCCTAAGATCCTCAGTACACGTAAATCTGTTCCAAATGGTCTACAGCACACATTTACCACGTCATGCTTTAGCTTCAACATACCCGCACAAACTACTACAAATGTAACAGCAAAGGCTTTATGTAATCAGACATTTAAGCTACAATATCGCACACATTTGCAACAAAGATTTTTTTTTTTACATCAAAGACTTGACAGCAATATACATTGTATGTTGGAATGAACAAACACTGAAAACAAAGTACATTGTATAACACTAAATGTCTTGAGACTTGTATCTACCTTACAAATTTGACACAAAATTGCCTTTCTTTAATTTGAAAATCCTGACTGGAAACAGTTAACTGAGTGCAGTAGTTTTTATAATTTATAACCAATGAAAGGTAACACTCCTGTTCTACCAATCATGTCTGTTGCCATGACGTTACCCTGGAGACGACCTTTGATCTGTGCTCTACTCACCGCTGATGTCAACAAGCACCCGGGTGAAATGTCTGCCGCAGCGGACTGACTGGGTAAGAAGGACTTAAATACGGAGGTCAGAACAGAACATGAGAGACAAGGTTACTCAAGGTCACGCCTCAAGGTCATGATGGGGGTTAGTCATCAGGTTACCTGTCGGCAGTCCTGATTGGTTAGTAGGTTGAGAAGTCCACAGTCCACGGATTAACCTGGCCCAAACCGCAGAGAGACAGCGGGAGTCATGCCTGCCCTGAGAGACAGCTAGAGCAATGTCTGCCCTGAACCATCAAGGAGGCATTTTCAGGATGCCCCCCTCCCCATAATGTTAGAGCATGCTACTTGCATCACCCAGGAGTTTAGGTTGTTTTGAATCTTTGTGAGACTTTGTGACACCCCACTGAAGGTATAGCAATAGTTATGAGTGTTATTTCTAAGAATTAAGATTTCTAGGTTTTATCCTCTGTAGTACTGCAAAGATAAACAATGATTACACTTCTTAGCTGTGTAGTGATGTTAGAAGAATTTTGCACCAGGAGTGAAAGATGAGGTCATGACTTTTCAGCTGGTCAACAGCTGCTTGTTTGATTTGATTTTCAGTTTGACCTTAATAATATCATCTATTTGATTTCACCTGTTTGATTTGACCTTCTCATCAGATTTGACCTTCCTCTAATTGATTTGACCTTCCCTTGACTAGTTTGACCTTCCCCCATCAGATTTGACCTTCCCATCAGATTTGACCTTCCCCTAACTAATTTGACCTTCCCCTAACTGATTTAACCTTGCCCTAACTAACTTGACCTTCTCTTACTTATTTGACCTTCCCCTGACTAATTTGCCCTTCCCTGCCAGGCCTGGCTCTGTTTCTGGGTCTGTTTGATTTGACTTTTCCATTTGATTTGACCTTCTTCTAATAAAAATCTAACCATCCCTATTTGCCCCCCTCCCGGCTCTGCTGCAGGGTCTATGCCAGGTTGCTCCGCGGAGCCCCCCTCCCCTCCCGGCTCTGCTGCAGGGTCTATGCCAGGTTTCTCCGCGGAGGTGGGTCAGACGGAGGGCATACTTACTCCACTTACCCTCTCCAACACAATCTCCTCATACTCCCAGTCATCGGCCGCTCCGTTCACCTGCAAAACACACAAACAAACAACACGTAAATACAAACAAACAAACAAACAGGAGCTCAACACCAGCAAGCAGTGGCTATCGTATCCAGAACTGTGCCTGTCTAGTTCTATGCCAGAATAGATCAGGCACGGTTCTGGATAGTCTCCGTGTATCCAAGAATGTAAATTTACCCCAGGCACAGTTCTGGATACACGTGGACTATCCAGAACTGTACATGTCTAGTGTTCTATGCCTGAAAGGATCAGGCACGGTTCTGGATAGTCTCCGCATATCCAAGAATGTAGATTTGCCCCAGGCACGGTTCTGGATAGTCCACCTATAACCTGGGGCAAATCTACATTCTTGGATATGCGGAGACTATCCAGAACCGTGCTCAAAGCTTGGTTGACATGGCTAATGCGTTAATATGTTGCTAAATCAAACATGCATACAACCAACAGGTGTGAACTACATGGAACTGCCATGGTGCATGGAAGGAAAAAACTGTCAACAGCTACAAACAAAAACATGCATGAAAACAAACCAAGCATGAGCCATCAGTTACTTCGTTGCATCAAACATATTGTTATAGTCTCCGTGTTGTCTGTGTGTGTGTGTTATATTTTATAGTACGGCAGTGAGCAAAGTCTTCACCAACTGTTACTAGATGTGGATGTATATGTTTTTGCAGTGAGAAGAAAAATCTGATGTGAACCGAAGGAATTTTGTGTTTATAACAACAGATCAAGCTGTCATACAAGTGTATCTGTGATGAGCACAAATGTTTATAACTAAGGGAGGATTGCCGTAAATATTTCATCAGGTTGGAAGATACTTAGGGTATAGAATTTTCTTCTTACACAACCAGTAAAGGTTCTCACCTTCTTACCTACTTTGGCGTTAAATAGCGGCGAGTTGCAGAACTTCAGTCAGAAGCTCTGAGGAAGGTGTCTGATAGACACCGAAACGTAAGCAGGTGAGAACCTTACTGGTTGTGTAAGAAGAAAATTCTATACCCTAAGGAAGGATTTGTATCAACAGGTCAGAAGGCAGATAGGAGACAAGAGTTTGTTGCCAGGTCAAGTTGGTGCATTTGCAGCAGTATTATAATAACTCTCTCTCCTTGGGTTAACTAAAAGTCTATAAAGCAAGTACACAAATGGCAGCAACTGAACATACTGTCTATCTGTGGAATATGACAAGTGATATAAGATGAGAGGCCTGCCCAAGAACTCATAAAATACCAACAAGGGTTTGAAAAGAAACAAAAGCAACCAATAAGTTATTAATAAGGTACGACAGAGCGAATCTAAGCTGCACCAAAACCAGTCTAAGTGGACATATTTAGACAACTGAAGAGTTGTTCCAGCAAAGGAAGATGCAAAATATGCTGCCAATTCTTTTCTTCAATTTCTTAAAAGTCCAAAATGTTAAAATCTTGTTCTCTTATGAAGTTATGAGCAAGATTTAACTGTAATTTTTAACAAAAAAATTTGGGCTCACCCAATTTTTTCCTAAAGTTATTTCTATCTGTCTGATTTGCAGTTTTCTCCTTTCCTGAAACAGCTGTTGGCATGACAGCTTCTCAAACAAAAAGTCAGAAGCAGCAGCATTGTGAGATGGCAATGCAG